TTTTTATTTTTAATTTTAATTTTAATTTATTATATTATATAATAGAATAAAGCTGTGAATTCAATAGGAATTTACATGTTTCTAGTGCGAAGCAAAAGTCAATATTCAATAGTCATCTATCGTTACTCATATCTATTTCAAGATTGCGATTAATACTTTTATTTATTTGGTTGTTTGAAATTAAGAATATAATAATAATATGTTGAATGAAATTAAACGTGAATCGTAAGATCCATAAAATAAAGTTGGACTATTATTTCTTGATAAACTGAGATGAGAGTGGTGTAAAGACGTGAGTAAAAGACGGAATAAAGATTCTCAACATCTCACATCATGGACAGAAAAGAAAAGATAGGATAGAGATGTTATTTTTTGATATTATAATACGATATAAAAGTATACTTTTTTTAAAAAAAATTCTTCTTAAAGTGAAAATGTTTCGTTTCTTTTTTTCCCTTTATAATGCACATAAAAAGCAAAATACATATAAAAATTATATTTGCACCCCAAAAAATTGTACAAAAATCATACCGTTTATTATGACATGCGATATGCATCATAGCTCTTTGCATTCATAAATTACTTATATTTTTTTTTAATGTACAATATAGAAAAAAATAACTTATAAATATTTAGGTCTGGTTAATTCAACCCAGCCAGTCTCTGTTAACCAAATTGATAACAAGAATTAATGTCAAATTGTAAAAGTTAATTTAGAGTAAATCAAAACATTTAGTACAAACTAAGTGAGGTTAAACTTTATTTTTAATTTTTTTTTTCCTTTGAATAAACATCATACGCAGAGGAATACGTAAAAACAATTAATAAATAGTAAGGCTGCGGTTGGGTTCAACGTTTTCTTGGAGTAGACAGAAACTTTTCACATTTGTAATTTTTTTTTTTTTTTTTTTCATAAAAGTACTCCGTAGAATGTTATGCTACAAAAACTTATATACTTACTGTCTAAAAGGATGGTCGAATAAGTGGAGCATAATCTTAATATTAGAAAGTCACGAGTTTAATTCTTGACAAATACTTTCTCGAATGAATTTATAGCACAATTTTTATTTTTATTTTTATAAGAGTGAGATTTAACTAGTGTATACCTTAATTCAAATAGTCGCGATAGACTCATAAAAGAAAAATGGTTACGTTTCTCATTATCACCGATAGTATCATTTCCTTAATTAATTAATCCCATCGAGTTGGTCACCACCCATATTAGCGTATAATTACGCACTAATCCTTCTTTGAATATAATAATCTTTAAACTCCATAGTTTATGGCATGTGGAAAATCTCCTGGTTTTGCGGCTAAATGCTTTAATTATCTCTCTTAACAAGACTCAACAATTTGTTATTAGATAAGTCTTGACGTGTTTAGTTAGTATAAAAGACATCAAAATATATTAAATTATATTAAATCATTGTGTCAAGCACTTTGTGTTCAGATGACATCTGGGTTGGACTTTTATATAGGAGGTTGTGAGTTCAAGTCTCAGTGGAGGCGTTAAGTTATTGTCTCTTTGTGCAAGTAGTTATGAATAGATACTACATTCTAATAGAGTCAGTAGTGTTCAAAAAAAAAAATATTACATCTACTGTAATCACAAAGTTTTTTTTTTTTTTGAAAGAATCACAAAGTTTCTAAATATAACAACATGTATCATCACCATTATAAGACTAATACTGAGTATAAATTTGGCACATATCACATTTGTAAAGTCTACTTTTATCCTTTACACGAATTACATTAATAGTTCGGTTACGAATTACTCAAACTACTATGTTGGTAATCACAAAATTTCACTAATACATAATTGATTTTTTTTTTAAAAGACTATACGCTTCTCTGTTGTAAATAAAAATGATGTTTAAAGTCTCGAAAGGGGTGATTAAGTGGGTGCAACATAATTCTCGTATTTAAATGTCACGAGTTCGATTCTTACCAATGCCCTCTCATTCGAGCCCATCGCGTGTGTTTTCTAAGTGCGGTTACCTCTCCTTTATGGGTTATACACAGGAGCGGGGTTTATTCCGTACACACTCTTAGTCACCCATTTCGAGACTTTAAACATCATTTTTAGGGTTGTGCAGCTACAGTTTTCCATCGTCAACCCAACAATTTTTTTTTTTAAATGATGTCTATTTAAAGTTGTGTGGTGGCTCGGTGATAATTATTTGGATAGAAGAGAAAAAATAAACAAATATAAGAGTCTATTGTGAGTCAGGCAAGTGATATCTTATCCTTTGACGATGAATTTTTTTAGTGTAAATTTTTTTAACGATAGTGTTTAAATGTTTTGATTTTACTTGATCTTTCATGACAAGTGAAATTTCTATCACCTAATGAAAAAATAGCAATGTTGTTCTGGACCATGGGCAAAAAAAAAAAAATGGAAAGTGAAAAGATAACAAAAAAAGTAGGTAACTTTCTTGAAATAAAATATATTCCCCAGCCAAGAATTCCCAATTCCAAGTACTTAAAACAGTTAAGAAATTTCAAAGGAGATGGAAGACAAGTTGGTGAACAGCTGTATTTTAGATACCATATTACATTAGAGTCTTTGTTTTACATTAATATCTTCATCAAAGTGACAAGATTGTCTTTGTTTTACTTCAAATCTTAGGGGGGTTAATATACGTGCTATTAAGCCAATAAAACATTAGTAATAAAAATGATTCTTTTTTCCTTAGTAAGATTCGGTGAGATAAGTTAGGTCATAATGAAAATGTAATACTTATACTAAAAATATATTATTAATCAATGATAAATTATAATATTTTTAAATCAAAATGTAATAGCCAAGCACCTTGTGCTCAGGCATGTAGTGATCTCATGAGATCGAGCCTTAGTGGAGGCGTTGTTGACTCATTGTGTTTCATTAGATTGAGAAAGTATGTTTGAACATATACTACAATGTAATAGAGTCAGTGGCATTCAAAAAAAATTATTCAAAATGTAATATTTAAGGTTGAATAGTAATTTATGAGAAAAAAATGTAATAATAATTATGAATAAATTGTTTAATTGTTATTTATGAGAAAATGTGTAATATTTATGACAAAAAATGTTGTATTTTTTATGAAAATTGTAATACTTTCAAATCAAAATGTAATATTAAGAGTTTAAGAGTTGTTTATACCAGTGTTGCAGAAATCGCGCCTAGGCGCTAGGCGGTCGGCCTCCTAGGCGCCTAGGCCCTAGAGGGTGCCTAGCGATATTTTCAACATTGGTTTATACATAAAATTTTTAATACTTATGTGGAAAATAATTAATACTTATCAAAAACTCGACCCGCCTCACGGATTCTCATAGGAGAATTTGTGCCATTGAGTAATGAGCAAAACCCACAACTACAAACCATACAAGAGATGCAAATTGCATTAGTTAGCCGCCTAGACGTCATCTAGGCGCTAGGAACTACTCTACCGCCCGACTAACGCCTACTACGTACAACTATGATATATATATATATATATATATATATATATATATATATATATATAATATGAAATAAATGTGAAAGGTAAAATTATTTAGAATTAATTGGGGTGACATTAAATAAAGTGAGGGGGGAAAAGGCAAATGAAAATGTGATGAATGGCATGATTGCAAGAGAACATCAGCCTAAACATGCACATGACTTCTTAATTATATTCTTTTTTAGAGGGCCCCATCTCTCATGTCTATCACCCAACACATTTTCACAACATTGCTATATATTGAATCAAATTGCACATGATTATCTGATTAATTAATTTTGCATTTTATACTTAATAATCTATATACACGTCATCTTTAAATGGTGTGAATTTGGGAAAGAGATAGCTTCAAACCCCCCCCCCCCCCCCCAAGCCCCACCCCAACCCCCTGAGGATGCATTGGTAATGGCTAGATTTGTCCATAACTAAAAATATGTCTTAGCTTAACAAAGTAATTCATCCCCTATAGACAAAAATGACAATGTTACACATAATCATCAATAATCACAGGTATCGCCCAAATCTATTTGATCGGACAATTAATTTCATAATCATAATGTTTAAAATTTGACTCTCTGTGTGAGCTATGTATTAGCTTTTTTTATTTGAGTGTCAATTATAAACAACATAGACTGGTTTATCTCGTGTGGTCCTGTACTAACTAAGGTCACATGTGATCTTCACCCAAATACATATTCAGATAGTGACTATAACTTACATATAAATCGAATCAATAATCACATGTATTATTATTATTATTATTATTATTATTATTATTATTGAGTGAGAGTATATCCAGTAATTATTATTTACTGTGCAACATGTGCATGTATTAACAGTGTTATGATTTGTCACGTATGTATATAGTAGGGATGAAGGTATATATTGTTTTACCCTAAAGAAACATCCCTAGCTAGGGTTCATTATTGGTGCTCATTAATAAACTTAATTGTTTTCTTTGTCTAAACCTTAAGTATCAATTTGGACATTATTAGATTGACAAAAATGTAACCCAACATTAAAATATCATGCTGTTATTAGTCAACTTAGGATAAATTTATCTTTAATTGGCCAGTGACAATACATCGTATCCAATATTTAGTGAACTTTTAAATAATTCTTTTTGTCAATTAAATTTTATTCTTTAGATTTAACGGTGATACAATGATTTTATGTTTAAATCACTCAATTTAATTAATATGAAGTGATATTCTTACAGCTAATAAAAATTCTAAATGAGGTTAGCAGACACACGGATCAACATCCGGACTGCAAGAATTCTCGTGTAAAGTTAACTTTATTATACGTTCCACATTGATTCTTTGAACAGTCCAAAAAAATCGAATCAATATGAAATTACATTTCTCATGGGCTATATATCTATCATTCAATTCCTACCACCCAAAAAATGGGTTTTTTTTTTTTTTTTGGGGGTTCTTGCATATGCATAATTATTGTTGAGGAATATGAAGAAAGAAAATAGAGAATTTAATTTGTAGGGCGGGGAGAGGCGTGGAATAACAGGAATAATGTCATGGTAGAGCCAAACACGGCATGTAATTTCTTACTTTGTTTAACCATCTCCAGTCCATTCTCTGTCGGCTTGTTCTGTTCTACCACTCTCATAATCTTCATATACTAATCCCAGTAATTAGTAAACATAATCCTACGCCCAGCAGCAGCATTTAGGATTTAGGATTTGATTATTTCTGCGTCCAAATTAATTACCCATTTCATAATGCTATAATTATAGTACTATAATGGAGTCGTAGCTGGTATTGGCTAGCACTATAAAGCACCTCCGTGCTCATTGGCGTCGGATTTTCCGGCAAGTTTTCAGATTCCCCCACCACCCTCATCTCGATTGCTCCGCTGCCCTTTACCTGTCGTCCTGCTGCTCTACACCTATCTATATAGCTTTCCGCTTTTGGGATTTTCTTTTGTCTCTCGTTGCTTGGTTTCTTGAAAATCCGGCCGGGGTCTCCGCCGCCAGCGGCTGAGCTCATGATCTTGGCTTCTGGGAGGATAGAGGAAAAGGGCCCATTTTTGTTTGGAGGGGAGCTTTTCAGCTAGCTCCTAGAGGACTTTTTTTGTATTTTCTTGGATGAAAACTGAAAAAGGTTCAATCTTTGGCAGTATTTTAGGGTAGCCCAGAGAAAATCTGTCTTTGGGGGAGGATTGTTTTCAACATTATGAAGCTTGTGGGATGGTGGTTTGGTGGCAAAAAAAGGGTTGTTTGTTGAAGCCCCTTGACTTGGGGAGAGCTGAAATTAGAGGCCTTTACTGAGAAGTGAAGGCACAGAACAGTAGTTACTGTAAGTTATTGCAGATTGAAGTAAGTGATTGGAGGAAAGCTTTGTTTGTATTGGATTTTGTTGGGGAAGAAGAAAGATTGGATTGGATTTAGCACAGATTGGGGTTCTTATTTTGCTGAGATGAAGGTTCCATCAAATGGGTATATTGCAAATACAGGAGAAGGTGTTTATTATGCCCTAATAAATTTCTTGCCATTTCTTTCCATTTTTTCTGTTTCTTGTGATGTTTTTTCCTGCAATCTGTGCTTTACCTTTGCTCCAATGTCTGCATTTTCTTGAGCTATCCTTCCTGGAAATAACTATTTCTTGAATCTTGAAACCTAAATTTGATTGTCTGAAACTCATCATCTCTCTTTTGGGATGAATCAGGGGAGAGAAAGGTGATCAATTCAGAGCTATGGCATGCTTGTGCTGGTCCATTGGTTTCACTGCCTGCTGTTGGGAGCCTTGTGGTGTATTTTCCCCAAGGCCACAGTGAGCAAGTATGTTTAGTTTCCGCCATTCGGTTCAAGATTTAAAAAACCCGAAATCTGAAGTTTTGATGTCTGATAAAAATCGTGTTTTTATCTCGACAACTTTCAGGTTGCAGCATCAATGCAAAAGGAGACCGATGGCATCCCAAACTATCCAAATCTTCCCTCCAAGTTGATCTGCATGCTCCACAATGTCACCTTACATGTATGGTTCTTTCTCGGTTCCACAAATACCCTTATCGAGCCTGCTAGATTAGTTAATTTGGTTCCTCGTTTCCTATGATCTTTGCAGGCTGATCCTGAATCTGATGAGGTTTACGCTCAGATGACTCTTCAACCTGTAAACAAAGTAGGTCAGCTATCTTAGAACTATCTCATTTTTTCACCTAACATGATACTAATCCGAAGCAACGATATATTTGTTTACAGTACGATCAGGAAGCTTTGCTTATATCCGATATGGGGCTAAAGCAAAGCAGGCAACCTACTGAATTCTTCTGCAAGACGCTCACCGCTAGTGATACTAGCACTCATGGTGGTTTTTCTGTTCCTCGTCGAGCAGCTGAGAAAATATTCCCACCTCTGGTAAGACTAGGAAGTTTGAAGTGGTACAAAACAAATATTTTCTTGTTCGGTTTCTGACCCGAGGTTTTTGGATAGGATTACTCGATGCAACCTCCGGCTCAGGAGATAGTATCCCGAGACTTGCATGATCAAACATGGACTTTTAGACATATATATCGAGGTACATACTTCATTAACGAAACAAACAAACATCTGCAGCCTGTCTCATCCCTTTCTTATCTATGTTTATGCCTCAGATTTTAGGTTCTTAGTATTCTTTACACTCAAAATTCATTTTCTTGCTATTCAGTATTGCAGAATGTGGAAAATTGAAATGCACATGGTTATAGTTTTTGAGTGGCAATCTTGTTCTTGATGTGTAATTAAAGTTCATTTTTTGTTCACGTTAGGGCAACCGAAAAGGCACCTATTGACTACTGGATGGAGTGTTTTTGTGTCGTCGAAAAGACTTTGTGCTGGAGATGCTGTCCTTTTCATAAGGTATCATCCGAAAATAAAGTGGTTTCAGAGTTTGAGCGAATTGAAGCATGTGCTCCATCTCAACTAAAAGCCTAAACTGATAGTTGGATTGTACATTAATGGTTATATGCTCAACAGAGCGACCTAAGTATTTTTCGTTTCACTGAGCTTATAAAACGCGATGTAGGGATGAAAAGTCACAGCTTCTCTTGGGTATAAAGCGTGCTAACCGGCAACAACCCGCCCTTTCGTCATCGGTTATATCTAGTGACAGCATGCACATTGGAATCCTTGCGGCCGCAGCTCATGCTGCAGCAAATAATAGCCCGTTTACCATTTTTTACAATCCAAGGTATAAAAGCCAATGCTTTCTTGCTTTATACTTCCTGCAATCCTCGTTTTTTGGGGTCTCAGAATCTTTGGACTGAATTTCGTTGATTAAACAAACAGGGCAAGCCCTTGCGAATTCGTGATCCCTCTTGCCAAGTATAACAAAGCTATGTACACTCAAGTTTCTCTAGGCATGCGGTTCAGGATGATGTTTGAGACCGAAGAGTCTGGAGTGCGTAGGTACATGGGGACAATCACGGGTATCAGTGATCTCGATCCCGTTCGATGGAAAAACTCACAGTGGCGTAATCTTCAGGTATATATTATATTCACTTTTTCCTCCATTTCCCGCCACCTTCATGTAACGATTGGAGGAGAAAACGAAAAAAGTTCATATTTTGTTTATGCACTCAATGCTGTTTTGATGATATCTAACCAGGTTGGATGGGATGAATCAACTGCTGGGGAACGTCCAACTCGGGTTTCAATTTGGGATATTGAGCCTGTTGTTACTCCTTTTTACATTTGTCCTCCTCCATTTTTCAGACCCAAGTTTCCCAGACAGCCTGGGTTTATGGGTAAGCAACTTAGTAGTCTGCTCTTTTTTTTTTGACAAACAATCGAAAAGATTTTTGATGCGAGGAAGGGGATGTTTTTGCAGGCGACGAGTCAGATATGGAGAATGTGTTCAGGAGAGGAATGCCTTGGATTGGGGATGAGTTTGGCGGGTTGAAAGATGCGTCGAGCTCGATGTTCCCTGGATTGAGCTTAGTCCAATGGATGAGCATGCAGCAGCAGACTAACCAGCAAGTCCCAGCTCAATCGGGACTGAATCAAAACCAAAACCAAAACGCTTTGCAAGGAAACCTTGGCGTGGATAACCATTCCAGGCTCCTCAACTTTCAGTCCCCCGGTTTTGCTGCCCAGAATCTCCAGTTCAACAAACCAAATCAGCTAAATCAGCAAGTTTCCCAGCTTCAACAGACGCCATCCCCAACGTGGCCCCCGCAGCAGCAGCAGCAGCCGCAGATGCAGCTGCAGCAGCACCCGTTGCAGCAGCTGCAACAGAATATGCATTCGAGCAGTTTAAGTAACGGTGTTGTGCCTTCCCAGATTCCAAATCAGAGCCACCCGCAAACTGCTATGCATTCTCAGCTTCAGCAGCAGCAGCAGCAGCTAATGACGGGAAATTTGCAGGTGCCACAAAATCCTCCTGCAGCCGCTAGTAAACCGCCATTTCCCCAGACATCATTGCCTCAAGAATTGCCATTTCAGCAACAAATCGACCAACAACAGTCCGTCCTTCTGCACAAACCTCAGCAGCAGCAGCAACAGACGCAATTGCAACAAGCCCCGCTACAGTTGCTTCAGCAAAGCTTAATGCAAAGGCCACAATCGCATCAGTCTTCACACCCGAGCCTTTCTGAACACCAGCTCCAACTGCAGATGCTACAGAAACTGCAACAGCAACAGCAGCAGCAGCAACAACACCTCTTGTCCCCGGTTGGCTCCAATTTGGAACCGATGCCCCAACAAGTGCTCCAACAAAACCGTCAATCACAGCCTCCCCCGTTGCCTCAACAGCCGCTAGGTAGCAACAGTTTCTCCACATCCCCGCTACTTCAATCCCCGAAATATCCAGTTAACCAGCCCCAAGGCCAGCAAAAGCCACCAATTACTACAATAAAAGCACACTCCGGCCTTACAGATGGGGATACTCGACTACGTTCAACCTCACCATCCACCAATAATTGCCCAGTATTTCCGTCTAACTTCCTCAATAGGAACCAGCAGCCTCCAACGATTTTGCTGGACGATTCTATAGTTGATCCTTCTTCTAATATGGTTCAAGAGCTTTGCACCAAGTCTGATATACCGATAAAACACGAGTTACCCATCTCAAAAGGTACCGAGCAGCCTAAATACAAAGGTAACGGTACTGATAACTTAGACGCAACCTCATCTGCAACATCATATTGCTTGGATGCTAGCGGCCTCCAGCAGAACTTTTCACTCCCGGGCTTCTGTTTGGACGGTGACGTTCAATCACATTCTAGGAATAGCATGCCTTCTGCAGCTAATATCGATGCACTGGCCCCCGATGCTTTGTTATCAAGGGGTTATGACTCTGGGAAAGATATGCAAAACCTGTTTTCTAATTACGGGAACTCTCCAAGGGATATCGAGACAGAGTTATCCACTGCCGGGATCAATTCTCAAACGTTTGGTGTGCCAGATATGTCTTTTAAAGCAGGTTGCTCCAATGATGTCACTATCAACGAGCCTGGCGTTTTGAATGGAGGGTTGTGGCCGAATCAGACTCCACGTATGAGAACATACACAAAGGTTTGATCTTTTTATCTTCGTTTCAAAATCAGTGCTAGCCCTTGAGTTGCATTATAATAGTTCTGACATTGGTTAAAAATTGTGAAAAGGTTCAAAAGCGTGGCTCTGTAGGAAGAACTATTGATGTCACACGTTACAAGGGGTACGATGAACTAAGGCAAGATTTGGCACGTATGTTTGGCATCGAGGGACAATTAGAAGACCCACAAAGAACAGAGTGGAAGCTCGTATATGTAGACCATGAAAATGATATATTGCTCGTTGGTGACGATCCTTGGGAGTAAGTCTTGGTCTTGGTCTTGGTCGTCTACTTTGTACTCTTTTAACTCCTAATTTTTACTTATGTTACCCTTAAATTTCTTTCAGCGAATTCGTGAGCTGTGTCCAGAGCGTAAAAATACTGTCTGCTGCAGAAGTGCAGCAGATGAGTTTGGATGGAGATTTGGGGCCCGGCCCGAATCAAGCTTGCAGTGGAACTGACAGTGGTGGTGCATGGAGATGAGACTATAACAACTTACCTACATTTTTTAACATGTAAAAGTATTCAGATCCAGAAGCTAACTCGCTATGCCTTTTGGTTTGAAGCCCTTCCCGAGATTCCTACGAATTCAAGGCTGCATATCCACCCACCCGCTAAAGTGTACTGGAGCCATTGTACAATAGCCAATTGAGCAGACTCGACAAGAGTTCGTGTCCTTGTTTTATGCCTTGACATGAACTCATAGAGAGTTGTTTCAGGACTCAAAACAACTTGAAAATGGTGGTGTGTTGACTGCTTAGCTTCACTAGTTGCTTTCCAGGTCACATTGTGAAGTGTAAAGATCTTGGCCTCTTGGGGTCCCCTTTTCTTATGATTCTTACTGGGAAATGTAAAGCTGCTTTTAGAGTAGAGAGACAATATAATATAAACTTTGTTCAGTTCTTAGGTTTCATGCAAAACATCCTCAACTACTTTTGTCCTGAATTTGTTAAGGAACATCTGCTTCCAGATGGATGGATTGTTGTCTTAGAACAAACCTATGTTCTCTTAGAACAAACCTATGTACCTTATGAATATGTAAATGCAATGCATAATTGAGGCAATGAAATGCAATGCGATAAAACAGTAGTAAGTGTGATGATTCACTTATGCCATTGCTTAGTTTCCATGTAACAAAAAGAAGAGAGGAAATTCTATTACAGTTGACACAAGTGTATCACTAAGACTTTGCTAAGGAATATTCTCAAACACGATTTTCCAGTTTTCTGAGCCGAAATACACTACAATTTTTTTTTTTGGAAAAATAGAAATATTCTGCAGCAAGGCGACTATGAGAGCACAGCCATTATATCGGATGCCCTCAATGCAATGTACTCAGAACCATCACTGCCTTTAAACTCATTGCCAGCATACTTGGAATACAGTACGGTGTTTCCAGAACTAACTGGTAAAGGTTTCCTGTTTCCTTCTTCATCAAGAGGACCAGGTCCAACAGCTACAACCTGTTATGTCAATCAATGGTAAGAACAGATCCTAAACATCATGCGATAATGGGAACACGGATAACTTAAAATGGAGATAGTACAATGAATGATGAAGTTTATTACTGTGGAAATGCAATTTTTTACTTTTTAAAGTAAATCCTTACCGTGCCAATGGAAGGCTTCTCCTTGGTAGCCTCAGTAAGCAGCAACCCTCCTGCAGTTTTTTCTTCGGCCTCAGCAACCTATATCGAAATGCCAGGCAAGAATTTTCATGTTTCAGAATGATGCAAATAAAAGATCAAACAAAACTAAGCCTGTCATTGAGAAGGCATGCAATTACTCCAAAACTTGACTGGCCTCATAGTAGGTCACATCACTAGATATTGAACTTAATATTGCAAAAATGAGAATCATGCCTTGCAGGTTTTAAAGGGCTTATTCTTTAAAAAATGACAAGTGTGACATTCAGGGTACAGGTTCATTATGTAGTGAGACAAATGATCCGTGCAAAAAATAAACATAATAACCAGGTAAATGACAAACCTTTATTAAAACCCTGTCATTGAGGGGTTTCATGTCCTTGACATCATCTGTTTCAAGAGTACCAACAATGTCATCCTCTTTCAAAATGAGATGATTGGTTCCATCGAACTCAACCTCTGTCCCAGCATATTTTGAGTATACAACCTGGGCTCCAGTCTGTGCATAGTAGGAAATTTTCAGCATTAGGAAGTTACGTTATTATAGCTATAATAGATCATTTCATCACATTCAATTACCTTCAGACTGACGTCCACCTTAGTCTTTCCAATTGTTCGGCCCTCTCCCACAGCAACAACCTCACCACCCTGGGGTTTTGATTGTGCTGTTGTTGGAAGTAGTATGCCCCCAACTGTCTTCTCTTCAGAAGTCTTTATCTTCACCAACACTCTATCTGCCAGTGGCTTAAGTGTAGTGTACTGAAAGGAGGAATTAAATGACCAAAATAAGTAATAGAGCAAATACAATCTAGAGGAAAATCTTCAAACCCGGCCCTGCTTATCATGGCTTCCATTCGTCTACCAAAAACTGTAATTGACTATTAATGTCTTGCCAACCGAAGGCTTTTAGAACAGAACTGAGAACACTAACCACAAAACACCAATACAAGGCTACATGTGTAGCAAGTACCAAGACAAATAAAGTGTCAGCAGTCAAAAATGTTATACTTGGCAAGCAATTAGGCAAAACGATTATTGCTTAATTGAGAAGGTTGCGCTTTGCTTTTAAAAAAAATCCTCACTTGAAGGATTATAACTAGTCTATTCTTGAAAGCCCAATTCTAGTGGATTTAATTTGTTTGGCTTTTAAAAGCACATGAACAAAAACTATGAACCAAGCCATAAACATACCAACTTTAAAACTAAGAACAAAGAAATTTCTCATATCCTAAGTGGTGACACAAAACTATGGCCCTATGGGCTATGGCAACTCAACAAAAATAGATAATGCACCAGTCCAGCTCAAACTATGCTCATCTAACTCCTGTCAAACAGTAGCAGTATCCTCACATTCCAACATGAAAACAATTAAAATGACTCAAAATTCTTCATAGTAATACCAAAAACATTCACCAAAAGAACAAGTGCACACCACAACCATAACCAAAAAAAAGAAATTATCTATTATAATAAATTCCGTAATTGTAACTATACTGAAAGTATATGTTAATTGTAATAGGTACATATTAGTCGAAAATGCAGGTTATAAGCAATTACAACAGAACACTACGAACCTTAGGGGCAACAGTAGTAGCGGCCCTGACGACGAGACCCCGGAAGGGGCTGTTTGCGCTCTGCCTATGAGGAGCGAAAGACGCAACCTTTACGGTGTTAGTGGACCTGAGCCCATCAAAGGAAGCAAATCCCTTGGCGGAGATGGTTGAAGCAGTGAGCTGAATTGATGCCATTCCCTGTGTTTGACCCGGAATGACAAAATCTAGTTAAAAGATTGTTACTTTCTGGAATCGAAAGCGGCAACGGAGATGAAATCAAGCGGAGAATCGGTAGGGAAGATGCATACCTGAGTATTAGGAAGAATGCAGTGGAGAAACCGAGGAATGGAGAGTGTGGAATGAGGATAGTGTTGAGTGATAATTGCTTGTAGGGGATAATAAAACCCTAGAAGGTTCGAGAGGGATGGGTCGCCGTGTAAAACAGGAGATGCTTCTAGAATTTTATCTTGTTTTTCTTGGGCCCATTTTGTCTTCAAAACTTATGGGCCGTAATGGATCCATGGGCATCATTTCATATATAGGCCCATGTACTCGTTCTCAGAAAATTATAATGTGAAACATAGTCCACATTGCAATATTAATTGTTAATAATTATTTACTTTTAGTATACTGAATGCTTATTTTTTCATATATATTATAGATTCATTTGTAAGTAGTGTACTAAAAATAAACATGCAGCACACAAAAATTAATTTTTTTTAAATTAAAATTATATTACATTATAAATGAACATTCAGTGTACTCGTATATCAATGATCTGCAATATATTAATTGCTATATATATATATAATTTAGTTCAAGAGACACCACCCAAAAAAATAAATAGAAAAAAAAAACCAAACAATTACAATAATCTAACTCAATTCACTCTTTATTGTATTAGTATTTAATGACTATAGCTATTAAAATGAGTTTAATCCACCAAGTTGACTTGCCCTATTAAATTATAAGGTGGGGTGAGCTATGGATTTAAGGTTGATCCCAACATGAACTAGCATAGTATTAAAATAAATAAATAATAATAAAATTCATATGGCTAAGTAACTATAAGTGAATGAAGTGACTATAACATAATTCTTTTTTTTTTTTAGATATGATTACCTCTTTTTCTTCTTCCAAAAGGCTGAACATCAACCCTAATGATGACATCTTTTTGTTCTTTTTATATCTGGTTGTGATATTTTGAGACCTTATTGGTATATATACACAGACATTTTAATATTTTATTAAAAGCAAGCAAATTTTTAGAGTATTTTTGTTGGTATTATTATTTATTTAAACGTTTTAGAATATTTTATTGTTTCAATACTAAATTTTAAATTAATATTTTATTAAAAATTATTTTTTAAACTATGATAGGAGCTGGGCAAGCTAGTATTTCTTAGCCCCAACTGCTTTAAGAGTAGTACTAACAACGGGAAGTTTTCACTCGATATCTTGGTGAAGTTAGTATATATAAACGTTATTTTTTGAGTTAGCTAGTTCAGTTTAGAACTGAATCTAACTATACTATCCACCATGTTATCTTCAAATGTTTATGGGTATGAAAGACGGGTAAGAACCAAGTGCAATCATCCTTTTGATTGATTTGCTCAACATCTCATATACTCAATAGATTCGAAGATCGCCTTCCAAGACATATGACGCAGTGACGACAATGAGCGAGCTTGAAGATGATGGAGCTACAGATCCTAATTTTGCATAGCATGTTTGAATGGATTTTTGAGAGATTTTTTAGATTGTTATTTGATTTGATTTGAGAATTTGTTGAATTGTTTACACTGTTTAGTAAATACTTTTATCCAACATGTTGTTTGTATTTTGAATTATATAATTTGTAACAATAAAATCTCAGTTGAGTGAAATATAATTAACTCAAATCACAATCTATTTTAACATTTTTTTTTTGAATGCTACTAGCTCTATTACATTGTAGTATCTGTTCATATCCTTTCTCAACCTACTGAAACACAAAGAGTTAATAACGCCTCGACTGAGGCTCAAACTTACAATCTTCCAAATGGAAGTCCAACCCGGGTACCATTGGACCACATAGCTATTTTAACATTTAATTATTCAAAATATCTTATGTAACATGCATGTAATATTGGCATAATAATTCTCTTGAAGGAGCTTATGTGCAAGATGTGTGCAAGTTTCAAATGTGAATAATGTAAAAGAAAAAAAAAATTAATTTGCGCTTTTTAAGAATGCAAAATTATATTTAAAACTAACTATTTAAATTCTCTTACAATTAGGGTCTTCTCCATTGCTTCTCGAATTTATTTCTCTCCTCTCTCTCTCACTTAGCCTGAGGCTTCGTTACTTCCAATCAAGTAACTTCTTCAACCAAATTTATTTTTCTACTATATTTGTTTATTTATTCAATGATTTTGTACTTTTTTTTTTTTGCTTCCACTTTTGTTTGATGAAATCTGTTGAATTTTGGGTGTTACTTTGCTCTTCAATCACTAATTTTGGAAATTAATCTATCTAATTCTCAATCTAGATATGCTAAAATTGTATTCACAACTTATTTCATTTTATGCTAGACACTCATGGAAATTTAGAACCATTGATAGGATTTCTCGATTCAATTGGCAAAGAATGAATCTGACCAGGCAGTATTCTCAAGGAGAGGTTGATGCTATAGTGAACAAGTATGTGACTTCTAACAACCTCATATAGATCCAACAAAGAAGAGAAAAACCCTCTGTGATGAAAAATGTCAAAAGCTTTTTAATAGAGCAACCTCATTAGTGAGGTTTTGAGGGTAGATGGAAGAGGGAAAAAATGAAGAAAAAAAAAAAAAAGACCAGACAACAAAAAAGTAAAATAATAATAATAATAATTTAGTATTTACATGTCCAGTTGGCACATGCACTACACACACCAACAAGGCGCGATAGTGCTTTAGGTTGCTTCTCTGCTACTTTTTTCCTATTTTCTTAGTCCGTGGGTCTCACAAAAATTAGATCATTGCAAGAGAAAAAAATTATTAAAAACCGCTCTCTCTATTTGTCTAAAAATCATATCAAAATTTTGTTCATCTGAAAAAATCAAGCAAAAACTAACTATTGTGATTGCTCTAAGAAGAAAACAGTTTTTGAATGTTTTTCATTTGCATGTAATAACCTAGCTCTATGTGTACTCATGTCTAGTATAGCTAGCTAGAAACCATTCAATCCCTTTTAAACATATACAGCCCGTATAACCTCCAATACATGGAAGGAAGGGGCTCAAAACTAACCTAAAAGCCTTCCATTTCATGTCCTCATTTTTATACTCACGACAAAATGATTTAAATAAAACAAATGTTGCATAATCTTTTTCATAATTTTATTACATGCATGTACTCGCATTTTATCTTTATACCTTACGTACTTTCAAACACATTAAAAGTTTATTGATTACTGAAATTATTTGCTTTTTTTTTTTTTTATTTGGCTAATTAATCACATTTAATTTTATTTCCTTTGATGTACAAACATTATGGGATTCCTGAAAATAAACAAAACCCACACGAGGTGTTAAGACATACACATGATGTTCATTTCAGGTTGTGATAGTAACAAGTAACAACCTAAGCTGACTACATAGGCGTTGTATTGGTTGAACATTCTATGTTTATGTTGTAAGTAATGTATCAAATATTGTCACGTAATGGAGTAAAAGAAACTCTTTATACATGTACGTTTTGCACCAACCATAATCATTGGTGTCATTTAGATTTTATCAAGTAGTGTCACACACTTAGAGTAACTCCATCAATGAGTTTTTCTCCAATTGTTTAGGACTTTAGGCAAACCAGGTGAGCTAGATAAGATAGAAGGAAAGAGAAAAAATAAATAAAAGGTAACATATTGGAACAAGCGCGTGCATGAGCACATCCACACTAGGCTAACACCTCTTTTTTTCTTTTTCTTTTTTGTTTTTTTTTTTCCTCCCTCTCTCCTTGTTAGTGTTAAGAGTCCCACATTAATATATATATATATATATATATATATATATATATATATATATATAAGTTTATAAAATCATGAGATAGATTAGTTAATTGGTTGGATTCAATATTTTAGTATGGTTTGCCTCATGCCAAAAACCTAACCCTTGCTCTAATACCCACAAACTTGGTTTAATTAATTATACCTTGTATCATAGTATTTCCACAAAATATTGTAGAATCATACTTAACTTGGAGTCAAATATTCACTCTAAAGTTAACTTTTTTGGTGAAATTAAAACATTGATTCGAATACTATATCATTATACTTGTTACAAATATAATGGTATCCGTATGACTCCAAAAAGTGGCATGTTTTGGTGTATGAATGATCCTCATCTGGTAGAAGTACTAGCTATTAAGGAGGCTTTATCATGGATTATTGAAAGACGATGAGAAAATCTAATGCTCTTTTCATATTGTCAGATGATTTGTAGACATATAAATGATGATTTGCCTGACTTATCTTATGCGGGTTGAGTCATAGGGGAATGTCGTTCTTTACAATGACACTTTGAATCTATGTCTATTCGGTTTGTCCATAGATCAGCGAACAAGCTAGCTTGCTCATTTATTAGCTAGAGTTACTAGTTCTATTACTCCTGGTTGTATTAAACATTTGATTATTTAATGTTAATTGTTTTTCTTTTCAAAAAAAAAAAAAAAAAAATTGGTATCAGTATCAATCCAGCATCTTAAAATTGCTCCGAAATACGACATAAATATTCTCATAATGACGTGTATTGAGACCACTGGCGGCTTCAACGTTGTCTGCCCAACGTTTTACAGAAGCTGTCTACTTTTATTTTTACTAAAGACGAACTCCAATGTGCATGATAAATGAGGTTTAAACCAAATGCATTAGTAACAGTTTCTTTGTCCTAAATAAGTAAATAAATAAATTTAGCTGACTAGAATGCTAATTAAAAATTCCCATATTTAATTAATAATTACTTTGATTATTGTCCACTGATATACATTTGTTAGTTTCTATTCCACCAAAATAATTTCAACGGTCTTTGCACTCGTGATCATAGTTGGAGTCCCAACAAATATCTTTTTAGAAGAAGAGTGAAATAATCTACCGAATTACACGTCAAACTGTAATTGAGACATATAATTTAAAAAATTATAATTGAGTTCTTAAACAATCTAAAATTATGTAATTGAATCGAAAGTGATATGTTATCCCAATTTCTATTGACATGACAGTTATTATATTAAAATTTATTTTAATAATTTAAAGAAAAAAAAGAAAAAAAAAAAAAAACAACCCACCTTGCCTTTGTCTCTGACTAGAAACAAAGAATGTTCTCCATCTCTGGCCACCAAAGGGGTTCTATTTTTTAATTATTTTATTTTATTTAAAATTATTAAAATAAATTTAAAATTTACTTTTAAATAAAATAATTGCCACATCAACAAGAATTGTGAGAACAGACCACTTAGATTTAATTGCATTATATTTTAATTGTTTAGTGACAAGATTGTAATTTTTTTTATTTGGACACATAATTCTCATTCTAGAGTGTCACAAGTTCTTCCAAAAGGCTGAACCCCACACCCCGGCCCGACAGAGCGGTGGGAGGTTGTAAAAATCATGGTGACTCAACTGAACATTAATCACAGAGGCTAGACCAGTGCTCACACAAGGAGCCCCCCTCACTTGGGAGGTTGTAAAAATCACCGAACATTAATCACAGAGGCTAGACCAGTGCTCACACAAGGAGCCCCCCTCACTTTGAGAGGTTGCACCTATACTGCCACTGGTGAGACTCGATCCTTGGTCATTCTTCCAAAGTTTCACCTCTATGACCAGTTGAGCTACCCATTCTAGAGTATCACAAGTTTCATTTTTTTGTCAACATCTTTTTAGGTCAAATTCATCACATAAGATCTTTCTATTGTGATTTATCTCTCACGCATGTATAATTTGCAAACTATTATATAATAATATATTTACTCAGTACACCATCACAAATAGTGAATGTAAAATTTTCTGTCACAACAAAAAAAATATGAATTATGGTTGTAGTTAAAATAGAAGTAAGGAGGAAAGTGGTGATGCAAATTGACAAATTATTGGAGATCATGCATGACGCAAACAGAATTTTAGATAAAGACTATGATAAGTACTTTGATATATAACGCGTTGAACTTGCCTATATTTTGTATGAATATTTTTTGTTTTGCTTGTTATATCCTCATGTTTCTACTATTATAAAATTAATTCTTATATATATATATATATATATATATATATATATATATATATGAGATCAAATAATGGGCACACAATAAATTATTATCAGGCACACAAGAATACATGTAAACATCAGGTTTCGAACCCAGACTCTATTAATTAACAAATGTATGCATGCGACATACAAACTGTGACACACGGCTACATTCGGCCATGCACACAACATACAGACTAATGGCACACACTACATCTATCCTCACAGTCCTCTATAATATACTTGTCCTCATTTGAACGCAAGTCTATATATATATATATATATATATATATATATATATATATATATATATATATATATATATATATATATATATATAGTAAATACGGGCGTATACTACAAGATATGGTTCTAGGGTCGGTTTCGGTTACGGTTCCCTTGCCTAGTCTGCTTGTTGGTTTAAGTTGTGGAATTTGGAATACTTGACAGTGGGTCAGAGGTTTCCGAACTAACAGTTAGCATGTAGAAATAGCCAAAAGTCCCCCTCCGCGCAATTAATGACGAATTTATAAGAGAGATGGGGGACAAGTATCGGTCTCTCACCATGTGCAACACGTGGAATCCATGCGCAGTTACAGATTAGGGCCCAATGGAGCTCAACTACGTGGCAAAAGATTCCTGATTCCATTAGGTGTGATGCCCCACACCCAACCATGAGAACCATGTTGGTAGGTCGGGGGCAGAAGTGATTGTTACTTCTCTTAAGTCCAATTGCCTAATTAACCTTGAGCTGGGGAGTATACTCACATTAGGTCGGCGATTGTGGGGTCGGACTCCCCTCAATGAGTGGGTCCAGATCTGCCCCGAAATACAATGCATAGACAGATAGAGAATAATCCCCATCATATAATAACTTTAATGTAAATATAGAGAGCATGTATTGTGATTTTTAACCATATCCGATCTCAGAAGTGCACTTCTTGACCTTTTAGACTAAGAGAATAATTCTACACAAATGACTCATGAAGTGTCATTTTAGCCGTTCCATAAGCCCAAGCTAAGTTTACCCACTATTGATATGTGGTGTGACTAACTTGATCGGCCAAACTATGGGTTAGCGCCCTGCCGCTATGTACTAAAAAATGACAGGAATTATGGCATATGCCCCTTCACCAATAAAAGCTAGGTATCCCGTTAAATGGAGGGACTTTTAGACTAATACTTCCCGTTCAAAAATTTAATACTTTTATATTTTGATGTAAATGTATTACACTTTCCCTTATAAGTAATGTTGACAACTATTTATTACTTATAAGAGATACTGTAATAGTAATACTTATAAGAGAAAACGTAATATTTTTAAAACAAAATGTATAAGTATTACACTTTTGTATATAAGTAATAAATAATTTATTCTTAATTATTATTATATTTTTTAATATAAGTATTACATTTTCATCGTGACTCGATCTGTTACGGTCTATTTTTGGCAACGTTTTTATATTCTATATAGTACTCCGTATATAGTATATGTTGGATATGCCCCGCGTGGGTGAGTCAATCCGAGTATGTGTACAATTTATCTGCACATGCTTCTTAATCTATCGCATGAAACGCCACCGCGTATTCTCAACACGGCGGGTTGACCCTTCACTCTCCCGCAAAACATATAAATGGAGCCGCCAATTCTCTTCATCCTCACTTCACTTCATCGTCTCTCGATCAGCTCGATCTCAAATTAAACCTCCTTCAATTCGACAGTGCAGGCAATTGGAACATCCTTATCCGAATCGAAACTACTGTTTCCATGGTGAAACCCAAAAGACAAACTGCCGAGATTAAAAACGAACCCGATTCGTCGTCTTCCTGCAAATACCGGGGTGTCCGGAAGAGGAAATGGGGGAAGTGGGTGTCGGAAGTTAGACTGCCCAACAGCCGGGAGAGGATATGGCTGGGCTCCTTCGACTCGCCGGAGAAGGCGGCGCGCGCCTTCGACGCCGCGCTTTTTTGCCTGCGCGGCGAGACGGCCAATTTTAATTTCCCCGATAACCCGCCGGACATCGTCAACGGGAGATCCCTCACCCGCGAAGAGATTCAGATCGCGGCTGTCCGGTTCGCTAACTCGGCGGCCCCGATTGCCAATTCGGGTCAGCCCGGAAATTCGGATTCTTCGTCGTTGTTAAATGCGGATGCACCCTCGCCGTCGGACGGGAGCGGGTCGGACCAAATGTGCAGTGAAATGACCGAAACGTCCCTGGACAGCGACTTTCTAGACCTTTGCTCTTATATAGGCATGGAGGACAATGTGGCGAACTATGGGATTTTCCCAGGATTTGATGATTTTTCCGGCGAATATTATTACGTTTCACCGGATATCGACGATTTTGCAGAGAATTACGACGGATTTTCTTCACAAGATTCTTTTCTTTGGAATTTTTAAGGATAAGATTCTTTTGGACATCGGCATAGAATTCTGGGAAATTTTTCGCTGCTGGAATTCATGTCTTTTTGGTCCGTCGTATTAGGAGGCAAAAAATATTTAGGCTTGTACAATAATCAGCGTTAACATAATTTACAATGTTTATTAGCTTTTCATATATAGTGATTTGAATGCATAAAAGGAATGTTAAAAAAAAAAAAAAAAACATTTTAATCTATAATTGAGTTCATATTTTCTCTTTTGGTACTTGTGTACATGATTATCGATTTTTGTTCATTTTTATCCAAACCCATGCTCAAATTCATAATTTCATATTAAGAACTCTTGGAACTCTTTCCCACATAAATTTGTAACATAATGTGTGATCTTGTGAAGTGCTCTTACTTGGATGGTTGAGAGGTGAGAGTATCAAATGTGTCTGAATCCTTTGTTTTGGAAAGACAAAATGGATTGAATTTAGTGGGTAATTACATGTGAATTTACGTGGTTAATTCATAGGTTACTATACTAATATGAATCTTAAATGTACATTTCAAACAAATAATAATAAGAAAAAAAATCAAATACGTCACTGAACTTTTACAATTGAACCATCGAACAAAAAAAAGTAGGTAATCGAACCATTAAAAACTTAAAAATTGTATAAATAATATTTTTTTACAAATTACTTCCATTGTTTCCTTTAAATATGATGTCATAATGTCTAATTATATATACAAAGTATTTTAATTATTATTTTTAAAAATTAAAAGAATTTTTTTTTAAGAATTTCAGAAGGAGGTGGAGGCCACCATGGCTGCCTCCATCTTCGTCTACCGTGGATGAAGGGGAAGGCAGCCATGGCTATTCCGACCTTCGTCCTGGACGAGGATGGAAGCAACCATGGTCCTCTCCTTTGTCCGATCTGGATGTCAGTTATTACATAGTCCATTGTACTAGGATCTAGTTAAAAAGTTTTTCTGTTTAAATGACATGAATAGCTTTTTATCATTTAATGAACTCAATTGAACTATTATGTTATTTTAGACTTCTTATTTTATTCTTTTCCAAAATAAATTTACTGTGACACTAAAAAGTGAATAAAAATTCAATCATGTACGGAGTACGTTATAGGATTTACATACACCTATTTTTTTTTTTAAATGAAAATGTATTGATTTAATACAAATTATAAATTATAAATTAGTCACTAATTATGAGGTAAAGGATAACATAAGCCCTCCGAAACTAGCGCCGCAACACCATGTGTCCGCTCCCAAATGACCGCCACGTAGCGCCACCCAATCACACGTGTATCCCCCAAGTGGCACCGGCGATTTTAAAACCATGCCAGTCAAACTCCACCCCACTACGTGGCGGCGAAAGGCCACCCCCACGTTCGGTCCTCCGCCCCCACCACCGTCCATAAAAACTTCCAAACTCAGAGGAACCAACGCATATCACGAAGAATAATAATGGTGAGGCCCAAAGCCGCGAGCGCCGAGCGGAGGAACGCCGGCGGGAAGTTCAAGGGCGTGCGGATGCGAAAATGGGGGAAATGGGTGGCGGAGGTGCGCCAGCCCAACAGCCGCGACAGGATTTGGCTGGGCTCCTACGACACGGCGGAGGAGGCCGCGAGGGCCTACGACGCCGCCGCGCTCTCCCTCCGCGGCCAGACCGCGAAGCTCAACTTCCCCGACGATCCTCCCAGGCTTCAGCAGGGCGTTAGTCTGACGCCGGCGGAGATTCAGGTCGCCGCGTCCAGACACGCGCGCAGTAACTTGGCGGCGGAGACCAAACAACCCGCCGTTGAAAATATCTTCTTCCCGCCGTCCGTGCTGCCGGAAGTTGGCGGTTCTTCATTTTGTGACCAGTTTTCAGCCGAAGCTTGTTATGAAGATCATCATAGTGGAGCAGCCATGGCGGCCATCCCAAATGCAGCACTATCTCTAGATTCTTCTCGCATCGTCTGGAATCTCTGAATTGAATTCGAAGATTCCAACAAATAAAAAAAAAAAAAAAACATCATTAGAAGTTAATTAGTTACATAGTTATATCAACTGTCCACAGAACCCACTACACCATTTGGTATTGTTTGGTGATTTTAACATACTACTAGCGAATAATTAGCTACACATACCAAAATTTAGGTTGCCTAATTTAAATATTACAAATAAAATGATTGAATTAATTTTGCTTGATTTATTGTTTTTTTTTTTTTTTTTTTGGGTTTGAAATTATCAATAATAATCGTATTTTTTCATTGAAAGTGAAAATAAACAAGTTAAATTCAGATCTTGCATGCATGCAAACGGACCATAAGGCTGGTGTATATTGTTCTTAGTATATACGGAGGAAAAAGTGACATCTTAACAACTGCGACTATTTTATGCAGTAGTTCGACGAAATAAGATTTTTAATTTACTAATCATTGGAATGCCAAAAATATTGTTTAAAGTCGATGGAATATGTTGATATATATATATATATATATATATATATATATATATATATATATATATATATATATATATATAAAAGAGCGCTCATATGCGGCGGGGTTTTACGGTGTGGCGGTGCGGTCAAATTTCAGAATACACCAACAATGTTAACAATATGCACGGTGCGGCGGTGCGGTCAAATTTCAGAATACACCAACAATGTTAACAATATGCACTAATAGTGTAATAAAACACACTCCAATGAAATGTAATAAAACATCACAAAATACACCACAGACTCAAAAAAACACACTATATAACTCACCACCCCCAATGGCGTATTTCCGAACAGATGTTTTTACTCACACCTAATGGTGTGTGTTTGGTGATGCAGGGCTTTGTTTATTCTGTTTTGTGTGGTGTATTTCCTAACGTTGATGGTGCATATTTGGTGAACTATTGGTATTGCCGCATCGTAAGACACTGCCGCACCTGAACCCGCTTTTATATATATATATATATATATATATATATATATATATATATATATATATTAAAAATAATTATTTTAAAAGTGAGAGAAGAATATGCCAGTGAGCAAAGAAGAAATGGAGAAACGCAATTAATTTGTTTAGATCAGGATATTATTATTGTTTCTTTAAGAGCTTATTTTTCAAAATTGTTAAGTTTATCATCTCTAATTATATACTTTAGGAGTTAATGTTATATGGGGTCCTTGAGTATAGTGATTTTGTCATGCATGTTTAGTCTTAAATTTTCAGATTAATTTTGTGTGGTGATTTTTAGACTTTTAAATTGTTACTTGTCGTGGTCCAAGTTAATCATTCATGACTTTCAATTTTTAAATTTTAATCGGTCTTCATAGAAAGACTATGACTGGTAAAAATTTAATAGTAAAAGAATCATGGGTGGTTAATTTGGATCGCGAATGGTAATAATTTGAAAGTTGAGGTACCACGGATGATGGTAACAATTTGAAAGTTGAAGTAGCACGGGTGATCAATTTAAAAATTAAAACCAAACCTGACAAAAACATTATACTACGCTCTAAATGTATTAACTCATATTTTATAATTTTGATGTATGTTTTGCTATATCTTTAGCGATATTTACTCTTTACTGGCAAGCGTGATTATTTTTTTTATTTTTATTTTTTACTGGCAAGCGTGATTATTTTTGATTTTTTTTAATGACAAAGAAACGTGTAACTATTATTTAAAAATGTTGACTGAATAAATTTTGCGATTATTGATTTTTGTAGGGGTATAAGCGGGCTTGCGTATAATTGCCTTCCCTTCCCCATTTCATGGTCCTGCCTAGTAGTCACGTTAATTTAAGACAGGCTAGGGACCTTATATTTCTATACAATATTTCAGTGATTATAACATTTTGAGTGGTAAGTTTATTTAATTTACAAAAATAAAATAAAGAGTTTTATTACATTTAATTGAACTATGTAGACTAATTTTTGTTTTAAAAATGCATAAATATTGAAGTATATTTTAGGATATCTTCCCAAATAATATATACAAATAAAAAATAAAAATAAAAATAAGAAAACGAAAAGGCCAAATGAAAGTAATAGAGAATTAATTATTCATCACCAATTTTTGAGTGTTTTTTTTTTTTTTTAAGTTGCCAATATTATATTAAATTTTACTATTTGCATTATATTCCATATGATATTAGCAAACAACAGAGAAATATGATGTGACCCCAATATCTCCATTGAAGATACTTTTACAGTAACAATATATATATATATATATATATATATATATATATATATATATATATATATATATATATATATATATATATTGTCAACACTAGTAGGGTCGCGGATTTAAAGCTCAACGGGACCTAGAAGACCAAACCAATATAATAGAATACAACTAGTGACACTTCATGAACTTGTAAAAATTTACCTCAATACAAATTAATCTCAACGAATTTTTAAAGAGTCTGATTGAGAATATTCCCCCGCTTAGCTACCTATACGTATCGCGTACCTGCTCGGCATCCGAGCAGACTATTGAGAGGAAACCTTCCTGACCATTTATCGACCTGATCATATATAAAGGACCAAGTAGGGGTGTAAATGAGTCGAGCAGCTCGCGAGCCGCTTGTGACCGGCTCGGTCAAAGCTCGGCTCGAGCTCGGTCAATATCGAGCTCGAGTCAAGCTCGAGCGGCTCTTTGGTAATCGAGCTCGAGCCGAGCCTAGATATTCTAGGCTCGTGGCTCGTCGAACCGCTCGCGAGCCTAGATATTCTAGGCTCGTGGCTCGTCGAACCGCTCGCGAGCCATATAATATATAATATATATAATAATAATATAATATAATATAATATAATAATAATATATATAAATTACAATTATAAATTAGAATTTTAAACTCAAAATCTCTAAAAGATTTCTATTATTTATGTATGGATAAAACAAAGTAGTTTGAATTTTAAACCAAAAGTATTAAATATGTCAAAGTCGAGCTCGAGTTCGAACTCGAACAATCGAGCTGCTCGAGCCGAGCTCAAGCAGCTCGAAAATTATCGAGCTCGAGCATCAATTCTCGAGCTCGATCGAGCTAGCCCAAACTCGAGCCGAGCCTCTATTAACGAGCACGAGCTCAAACCTACTCAGGCTCGAGCTCGGCTCTGCTCGTTTACACCCCTAGGACCAAGTATGGACTTATTTAGTAGTAGTACTTGCCCGTTTACTGGATCGCACCGATTGACCATCTTAGGTCGTCGGGACAAAACGCGCGACCTTATCCACGTAACAAAACCTCATTCCCTTAGTCAAATCCAATCGCAGCAGCTACTAGGGCGTTCGGAACCTTAGGACACGTGGGGGAATCAACAGAGCTTCCGACCACACCCCGTGCACGAGAAACATATGTCACGCATGCCGAGGATCCAGCATGTGTTCCCTTCATTCTCCTATAAACTAAATATTGCATTAAATGATAGAGATGAGAATTTTTGGTATCTTTCACATATCTATATCAAGCCCGGGATCCTCTAACCTATTGTCACATCGACCCGAGCACAATTCCTTAAACCAAATACTAAACGATTCGAGGGTTCACATGCAACCCGATCTATTATCCATACGAATTAGTAGAAACAACCGTATAGTATTTACTATATCAGAGTCGATCAATCCACACCACCTCAATTCATGCCGAATATAATCGATCACTGTAATATATTTAATTGTATCGGGTACAATCAACGCGGTCTCGATTTACTAGTAGCACGTACTAGCAGCTGTGATGGAGCCCCCAGCTCGAATTTTCGAACAAAACAGAAAATGCCAGCAGAGAAGTTTGATGGAGATCGACAAGCTAAGTAGATAAAGCATTACTCAAAGGTCACTGAATCAACAGACAACTCCAAGTGCGCTGCTTAGCTTCAACAAATTTCTCCCCACTAATTAATTAACCTTATAAAACAAAATTTGTGAAGTATTCTTTGAATCTTACAACAACGAAAACAAGAGCAAATGGGGCGATAAAGTGTCTGAATGCAAGACCGAACTGATCAAGTGGGTATAACATAATTTTCGTACATAAATGTTATGTGTTTAATAATTTTTTGTTGGTACTTAAATCACATTTAGGCGTAAAAATTATTGGTGCACCTAACCTATTATGTTAGGGTAATTAAAATAGAATAAAATATAAAGAAACATTGTTAGTACGTGTAATATTGTTCGAAAAATATTGCGCTGGAAGCTATTAGAGGTGATGGTCTGATGGTAGGCCACAGGGAGCCATCAATAGGTTTATCCAAAAGGGAAAAGTGTAAAGAAAATGTAAAATCACAATGTCTTTACAAAATTCTAAAATTGAACGACATTATTAGCTTCGTCATAAGATCGAATTGACAATTCACATGAGAATTGAGAAATTGTTTTGGACAAAATAAAATTAGTGAGTTGTTATAATTATCTTGGAGAAATGACACTAATGCTTTTTTAGTTGTTACTCATTTAATAAATATAATCACTAAATTCTTAGATGTGTGATAATTTAGTTTATGAACCAAATGCACTACTTTGTTCATAACTATTGTATACAAACACTTGTTAGAATGAATGTTTTGTAATAAATTCATAAGCTTTAATTTACTTGTTTGAAATTTGGGATCATACAAAACACCTAAAAAGGGAGGCATGATTTATTTACCTTTCCCATATATCTTAAATTAAGGCAAGAGTGATGATCGACCTTTGTGTCACCTAGTAACAAAGTTATGAGAGTGTTCGTGAAAATTAAATTCGAGACCTTTTAGTACAAATATCATGTTCCATACAATTGACAATTCATTTCAAGTTTTTTTTTTTTTTTTTTTTTTTTTTGAATAAGGGTCAAATAAGCTATCGAACTGTACACAATAATGCAATTAACTCACTGAACCTAAAAAAAAAACTACAATTGAATTCTTAAACTAACTCATTTCATGCAATTAGTTCAATTTGCAGGTTTTTCAAGTTTCTAACCAGTCACTCCAAATTTAAAATATTTTTTAAAAATAATTATTTAAAATATTTAAATTAAAAAAAAAAAAAACAGAGCTTCATTTTCGTCTTCGTCTCCACTAAAGGCGAAGAAGGTATCTTCATCTCCATGGCCGGAGATGGAAACGAAGCTGAAACTGTTTTAAAAAATGTAGATATTTTAAATTTGGAATGATCGGTTAGAAACCTGAAAAATATATATGTAAATTGAACTAATTGCATAAAATTGATTAGTTTAATATTTCAATTATAATTTTTTAAAGGTTTAGTTGGCTAATTACATTATCGTATGCAATTCAATTGTCTATTTCACCCTTATTCTCTTTTTTTTCTTTTTAAACAATTATTGTATTATTTTGTAAATATATATATAGTTTAATAAAAATGATGAAAGATGAAATTATAGCAGGGAGACAAAAGTGGGGCCCGCCTCAATTATTAGAGAGCTTCAATCAGTATGGAAAAGAACACGAAAATAAAATCAGTGGGCTAAGAACGTCCACTAAGTGGACCCCGCAATAATTACGATATTGACACTGCTTTGATTCCTAGACACGTACGCCTCGCCGCCGGCGAGGCGACGTCGCCGGAATCTCTGATGACTCATTTAACGGCTACTTGGGTCCCACTCCTGTACTTGGGTCCCAGTTTTAGGATAAAGACATTTTTTTAATAATATTGGCCACTGACAAGTGACACCTTAATAAAATGAGTTGGAACTTGGAATCATTAAAAATAATAAATAAATAAATAAATTTCAACCAACATTTACTCAGTAATCTTGAAAAATGTTATTTTCTCCTTAAAATTTTACTTTTTGACAGAATAATAAAACATTAAAACTCCATATATATTACTAAGAACAAAAGATTAAATAAACTCTCAAAAATATTTGAAAACATTCCATTGTACTGTCAAACTAAAAAAGAATTCCTTATATTATAAAAAAATAATTAAATGGGCTCTTAAACTACTAGAAAATATTCATTTGTATATATTTGTATAGTACTACTGATTTTATTACAATGTAATATCTGTTTATAATTATTTTTCTCAACTTACTAAAACACAAAAATTCAATACAGTTCGGCAACGTTCATTTGTATAATTGTGGAGTAATACAATTTTTTATTTTTTATTTTTATAAAAATGAGAGAATAAAAAAAGTTCAATAATTTCAGTTGTTCTTTTGATGCAATCATGGTTCACTTTATTATATATAATTACAAAAGCAAAAACAAAAACCATGGGCGTAGTATAATGATACAACTCCATCTATCATCATAAAGACCTTCAATTCGCCACGCTCTAACTTTCACTCCTCATTGTCCACTTCTCAAAGAGGAGCCCAAAAATTCAGTCATGATAGGCAAACGCCTGAGTCCGGTGATCGGAAAAATCTCCGGTAAGTCCAGTGCGCCGGTTTCCGACGGATCAACCAGTCCGAGAAGTCCTTTGGAGTTGAAGTCGCCGAGAGGTCCGAAAAGTTACGATCTTGGCGTGGTTGGACTGGCGATAGTGGCTGCCCTCGAAACGTCTCGTGGCAAAGACCGCGAATTTCTGGCTCTCCGGGCTGTTTGTAACCGGGCGGGCCCGATTCCGGTCAATTCCGGGCGGTTTTCCGGTAGACTCGCCGGAGGTTTTGGGGAAACGGAGGCGGAATGCTCGGAGGAAGACGAAGAAGAGTATACTCTGGTGACCTGCCGTGGTCCGGATAACGAGTGCTACACCCGGCTGTATTGTGATAGCGGTATTGTTGGTAGCCGCACAAGCCTGAAACCTCGCCGGCCGAGCGTCTTCGAGATTTCTCCGGCGATATCCTTTCACTCTCCGGGATACCCAGATTCCGATTTTCTCAGTTCATGTCACATGTGCCGGAAAAATCTCCACGGCAAAGACATATTCATGTACAGGTACATACTTCAATACAATATTATAATGATAGTGTCAGCAATCTATTAACCTTATTAGTTTGAGTCGATCAGTCTAAACTGATTCATCCTTTATCGGTTAAAATCAAAAGTCGGGTTTACCTAGTATTCGAGTAATGGTTGTGTGTTTTCATTGTTACACTAAAAAATAAAAGAAAAATCCATTTTTTAAGTTTCAAGAAACATGGAGATTGATGTGTGTTGATAAATATTGCAGGGGTGAGATGTCATTCTGCAGCACAGAGTGTAGATACAGGCAGATGGTGATCGATGAGTGTAATGAGAAGATGATGAGTTCGGAGATTTTAAGGTCTGATGATGTTTCAAGCTCCTCTCCCTGTAGTAACGGGCAGATGTTTTCACCTGGAATTCTGGCACTCTGATCTACAATATATAATAAAGCTGTAGTGATTAGTGCAACCTTATATTAGCCTAATAAGTGATTATAATCTTTAACTTATGAGTGAAGTCCGTTTTGTAATCCTAATCAGTAAATTATCATAAGGATATAAGCGGGCATAGGTTAGGTTATAATCCTGGGTATATACATATGAGAAATTAACAAGAGGGGCTTCAATATTTTTTTTTTCTGGATATAATCTTGTAAAAGGCTTATCTTTATGCTCTCTCAATGAAATTTTGAAATCCTTATGCGGGTGTTAGCTTTTGTTGCAGTTCTACGTTTGTACTTTATGCAGTGTTTGTCTTAGGATTTAGGAGTGACCATTCTAGTGAATATATCATTATTTTATTCGTAACGGTGAACTTTTACGAGGTTGTATGTATGGTAAAGTTGTATTATATGTTATGTCAATGATATAAATTGAGCGGTTTAATAAATATGCTATAAAATGTTGAGTATTCTTCCAATAGTATAAAAGCTCCGAATTGTTCCTTAGAATCAATGGAATTATTATGTGTAATAATTTGTGATTTTGGTAAAGACTAAAGACTCATGAGATTGACGGGTTGGCCCGTATAACTCACTTTTTGATGTTCTATTGTGGGGCTTTTCCAACCTGTTTTGAAAACAACCAACTCGACATGTCGTTGTTTGTTGGCCGTCACGTGTCATTCCAAATGGGTCGAGTTGGTTTGTTTTGACAACAAACTAAAAATGAACATGTACCATAGATCCATTTTACCATGTAGACTCTGGGCCATGGTATAAGTATTATTAAACTATTTTCATTAAAATGCTTTCAAAGAAATAACATCAGAAAGGAAAGCGGGAGGGGTAGAAATCTACTCCCTACAATCAGCAGAGAACGCGGCCTCCTAAGCGAGCAAATGAGTTGCCATGTTCATGGTTTGTTAATGCTGTGCTCGTGGATTGTTTAACAAACGCAAAACTAATAGAAGAGAAATCTTTAACTAGTTTCCTAATGTCTTTTAGGACTAAATCAAAAGAGGATTTACAATTACAACTTTGTAGTCCTCGAATTACTAATAACGCATCAGATTCAACTTGGACCGAGTCAGCTCCCAACTTCTTCAACCACTTCAATACCTCTCTAATGCCCACTACTTCAGCTAGTTTAGGTTAGTACAATGAGCATTCCAAATCTTTTGGTTCCTTGCAATCCAAAATTTCCAGCAACTAATGAGCATTAAGCAGAATGAGAACTGATCCAGCTTATCTATTGGGCTTGGGTTTGGATATTTGCACTATTGGGTTTAAAGACCAATGCAATTAGAATTGGGCCACTCTAACTGAAAGGAAAAGCCCACAAGCCCACCATTCATCCTACAAACGATAGGTCCAAATACCTGCATGATATATTGGGCTTCGGCTCGGATCCTCACACTATCAATTGAAAAAATTTTATGAACTAAATTTTACACAAAGTAAAGCATAAAAAACATGTTTTTATATTAACTTATAGTAAAATTAATTAGTTTAAATATTGTTGGTAAATATGAACAATTGTAATACTTGTAACGCGTTAGGCGTGAAACTATTTAAGGTTGGTTTGAAACCTAAAAAATGTTTTTTGGAAAATAATTTTTAAAAAATAATTTATGTTTGGCTTAATGTCAATTCTTTTTTTTTTTTAATTTTTTTAGCTGAAAGATAAGAAATTGTATTTTTTTTTTTAATGTTTGGTTCTTTTTCCTGAAAATAAACATATTATTTGTAATAATAATAATAAGTGGTTGTGGTGGCGGTGTGCTATTGTTGGTGGTAGTTGTGGACTTGTGGTTATGGTGGTGGTGGTGGTGGTGACGACGGTGGTAATAATAATCTTGAAAGTAGGGAAGAAATGAGAGAGAAGATAAATACGAAAAAAAAAAAAAAAAGAATCTGACAAATGTCTTCCAACTAAAAGTCTAGGAAAACGGAAGACATTTTTTAACAATTAGATTTTTTTTTCGTTGATCATGATGAACATTTTACTCTATTACATTGCAGTATCTGTTCATATACTTTCTCAACCTACTGAAACACAAAGAGCTAATAACGCCTCCACCAAGGCTCGAACTTACAACCTTCCAAATGGAAGTCCAACCCGGATACCATTAGACCACATAGTCCTAGTTGATGAACATTTTACTTGAATAGCCAAACATGGGAAAATCCAGAAAATGATTTTTGAAACTCATTTTTCGAGTTTCCAAACGGATCCTTAATTACAAATTTTGCAAATAACATTTTATTAAGAACAATAATAATTATTATTATTGAACTAAGAAATAAAATTTTGAAGTGTGTGTTATCTCTAGTTGAGTTGGTTAGGCAAATTGTTAGGTATTCAAAAGGTTTCAAGTTCAGCATTTTCGATTTGAATCGGTGACAACTTAAATTAGTTTATTTTCTCATGATTCTTTACTAACTAGTGTTACAAAATGAGTGTCACATAGAACACGCATTCAAGTACTAGCTGTGTGATTTTTCGAAAAACAAAATTAATTGGGAGAAGAAAAACAAAATTATTGAAGAGTGCAGAACTAGTCAATGCTTTTAATTAACTTGAATCACGGGGAAGAATCTTTTATTGTTGGACCACAACAAGAATTGTTTTAAATTTTTATTTTTATTTAAAAAAAAAAAAAAAAAAAAAAACCCACAATGCTCCATATATGGGATAATATATGTTATATAAAGTTTCTTTTTTTAATCCAAAAAATAATCCCCACCACTTACTTGTCGGTGGTGTCATGTTCTATATAATTTATTTCTAATATTGTTTATACACCACGCACCTGAAATTTTGATATGAATATAATTGTACTTTGTTGTAAAGAATTTAACACATATATGTTACCTTAGAAAAGAAGTTTCAAATTCATATGGATAAGTCAACTGATCACATGTATAAAATTTGTCACAAGAGATTAATAACAACGTCTCACTAATAACAATGTAGGAGGCTAGGAGCAACCTCTCAAATAAAAAAAGAGGGCTTCTTGTGCGTAATTACAGTACCTAATTACACAAACGAGAAAATATTTATCCCTATGATACGATATGATAAAATATCTCAAATATTTATTAACTTTTATATATTTAGTAACTATATTAGGTGTCAATTGGGTCAAAATGTTTCTGTCACCAAACTTCAAAGAAAATTGAAGTCTAATACGTACCGAAACATTTATTAACTTTTCTATATTTAGTAACTATATTAGATGTCAACTCAGTCAAAGTGTTTCCGTTGCAGAACTTTATTCACATGAAACTTTAAAGAGAACCAAACTCTAATACATACCCAAACATTAATTAAATTTTCTATATTTAGTAACTATACCAAGTGCCAACTAGGTCAAAATATTTCTATCACCAAACTTCATTTAAAGAAAACTTTAATTTAAAGAGAATCGAACTCTAATATTTCAAAAAAAAATTGCATCCATTAAGTTATCCACCAAACTATTTCAGGTGAAAAACAAAGTTAAAAGTTATCTTATGGCATGATTTAGTGAATGAAAAATCTTATTTAAGATTTTCTTCCAACCGGCAAGATGGGAAATTCAATTCCTACCATGAACATTGAGAATTTAGATAGTAGATTGGTTTGGTTTATCTTCTTATAAGCATGAGGGAGATTTATATAGTCCAAAATATAATCCGTAAAAGTCAGAAATTTTTTAATCTTGATTTGATTTTTCAACTTGTACCAAGAACCAGAACATGCAAAGGGACAGAGGGGTGTTAGGAAACGTGCAAAATTGTCAAATGGGTCGAGACAATTCTGGCCAAAATTGGCCTATCAAGGCCACAATCATCAATTCCATTATCCCTACTACCACATTTTCCCCAGATTATATTCTTTATTCTTTTTTTTTTTAAATGTCCATTTTCATTCTGTCTCGTGTGAAACCATCTCAGATATCTTTATCTGTGCGACGGGTCAGATTGAGTTGTGTCAAATGTAAATGTAATACTTATACTAACAAATGTAATACTAAATCAGAAATAAAATATGTTATTTTACACTATGAACTTAGAAGTAGATTCAAGCTTTTGCATACAACAAAACATTCATTCAAAACAATACAATCAAATACACATGAAACAATAATGATTGTTGTATAAGTAAGAACAATAGGACAAATTAAAGCAGATTCATATAGTCTGAGAATAAGAAGTCTCTAGATTAATTACAAAACCTAGTAATTTGGCAATATATATCAGAAATATAAATATATATAGTTAGATCTAAATAACACTTTGAAGCACAAAACAGTTGCTGCTAAATCTTTACTACCAAGCTAGTAGTAATTGATCAAAGCACAAAATAGTTATGACTGATGCTCAATCTTCACTGGAATCTGGGCACCTAGTCCCAGCCATGGCTTCTTGTTGCTCTCTTCTGGCTTAGATGAACCCCCCATGGCGTTCCCTATCGGGTATGGCGCCTTCGAAGTAACCCTGCAATCCAGTTCCAACGTCAATCTCACTTCACAAACATTCTGACAGACAAAACTATAAGTCTAGATCTGTGGCTAAGAACATGGTTCGTGTAACGAAAAACGCTCTATAGCTATGTTTTCTCTAGGATGTTTTATTGTTTGGCCAACACAAGAGGGGATCTATTTGTTTCTTTCTTAGCTTCCATCCTAATATTTAGCAATTTCCCATGTTTTGATGGATGTACTAAAAATTGAAACATGTGTTCCATCTCAACTAAAAGTGGTTCCAAGCAACACGTTGACCGTAGTCGCTTATCGGGTGACATAGAGATTCGAACCCAATTGAAGCATGTGCTCCATCTCAACTAAAAGTTTAAGCTGATAGTTGGATTGCACATTAATGGTTATATGCTCAACACTAAAGTCTAAAGATGTTCTTGAAATGCTCACCTGTCTTTTCTCTTCTCCAAGAACCTGGCTAGGGAATGCCTCCTGGCAATTGGCAAGTCTGCAACATAGGATAAGGTTACATAAGACATCAGAATGAACAATAAAGAGAAGAAACTTGGGAAAGCAACATATGAAAGACACAAGAAGGAACAAGAGATTACCAGAAGTGATGGGCTGTGATGGTTTCTGGTTGCCAAGACTGGGGACAACCTTAGGAACAGCAGGGGGAGTGACCATATTGGTAGCTGAAGATTCAGCAGGTTTTGGAGACACCAAGGTGGGAGTATTGTTGTATGAAAAGATGTTGTTGGGGTTGTGTGTGGTGTTTCCTCCTTTGGCCAAAACCATAATTTCCTTAACCTTCTCTGCTGGAAAATCATTGAACACAAGCACCTGACCACCATAGAAAATTGTCATCTGTGACTTCTCAGTCTCTGCCTTTGCCACACTGC